GGTCTTCTTGGCTTCCCAATTCTTAGGCAAGCTTCTAAGAACCTTCCCCACTACTTCTTGAGAAGGATAGACTTTACCAAGAGCCTTGAGATTGGTGACTATATCATTCAATCTTGTATGCATATCTTGAATGCTCTCTTCCAGTTTCATCTTGAAAAGCTCATACATGTAAATGAGTCTATTGATTTTTGACTCCTTCACTTGGCTTGTTCCTTCATGTGTTACCTCTAACATGTCCCACATCTCCTTGGCCATATCACATCCGGATACTCTATGGAATTCCGTTGGATTGAGAGCACATTGAAGCATATTGATTGCTTTGTTGTTGATCATGATCTTCACCAAGTCTTCATCATTCCATTCAACTTCTTCCTTTGGCAACTCACTTTCCCCAACTACTTTCATAGGCACATATGGACCTTTCATAGTCACAATCCATGCCTTGGGCACATTTGCAAGCATGAAGACCTTCATCCTATTCTTCCGATAATTATAATTAGTACCATCAAAAAAAGGAGGCTCAGTGGTAGATAAACCTTCAAGTGGTTGAGAAGATTGAAATTAAGCCATCCCCGATCAACTCCTAGGTGGTTAAACCTTCAAATTGGAGCCCTTGCTTTGATACCAATTGTTAACTCAATGCACTCCAAGAGGAGGGTGAATTGGAGTTGGAGAATTTTCACCTCTTTGCAACCACCAAACAAAAATTAAAGAGAAAGTGGAGAAGAAGAGCTTGCACAATGATTTTATAGAGGTTCGGTCCAACCACTTGGAGCCTAGTCCTCTACCTTGCCTTCACTCACCAAGGATTCCTCCACACTCTCCACTAACAAAAACAATGGTGGCTTAAAGGAGGCACTCAATCCTTTACAAAAAGAAGGGTGTTTCTCTCAAATCTCACCCCTTCACACTTAAACCCCAAAGATCCTCTCTATAGATCACTCTTGAAGGAATCAACACACCCCCAAGATCACTCACTAATAGCACAAGAAGAGGATTACAAACAAAGATCTCTCAAAGATCAAAATCTCTAGTTAAAGCACAAGTTGGTAGGTAAAGATATTCAATATGATGCTCTCCAAACTTCTTCAGATCAGTTACCAACCATATTTATAGCCATTTGCTCGAAAATAGCCGTTTTTAGCCATTGGGGGTCATTAAATGCTTTGCAAGATGCAAAGGTCGAGTTGCAGGATTGTTAGGAGAGCCGACTCGCTTCCTAGAGCCAGCTCTATACAGTTGGCTCAACAATTCTGCAGCCGGTTTTGCGAGATTCCTGCACATTCTGTTTTCTTCCACAGCCAGCTGCAAAGCCTAGAGCTGGCTTTAGGATTCCAACTTTAAATATATTAAATAATCTTCAAATAACTCGACCCTTGTGCATTAAATGCACCTTCACAGCTAGCTACAAAGTGGGAGCCGGCTCTGCTTCCATTTTCCGCGCGCACCAAAACAGCAGTTGAATTTCTGGCCTGTAGAGCTGGCTCAACAAAATCTGCTGCCGTTTCTCTGCATTTTTGCTTCCCAAAGCCGGCTGCAATTTTCTTAAGCCGGCTTTTTACATATTTTTAACCTTTGAGCTCTTTTTAATGCAATCTCATTTTGCTTACTTTGCAGTATATTGGCAATTTAACTACACACTTAAATAAATCAATTAGTCACTCAAATGTGTTTTGTAATCATTAAAATCATAAGTACAACATATAGCACAGAATAAAAAGTAATAATTATGTAATTATTATAGTTTTTTCTATCTTAAAACTAGTAAAGTTGACTTTTATTTTAATTATAAATGTCACGTGTTAAATTTTTATTTGTTTATTTTGAAATTAAAATCAAAATTTATTTTTTTAATTTAAAATCTCACATCTTTTAAGAAAAAAAAAGTGATAACTATTAACTAGTGATTGTTTCTTATCCTATGCTTTAAGGGCACAAGATATACAAACTCATAATAAAAATATAAAAATAACATAAAAATGCCAAAAATATGTTCTTAATTAAAAATGTCTAATTTATTTTACTTTGATTAGTCTCAGGATATATTTGCAAGAAAATAAATTACAAGGAGAGGAAAAAGAAGAGAAAAAACACATAAAAATAATTTTAGACAAAAAAAAAAAAAGGGGTCCAAACAACCCATGAATCCAAATCACTCATATTCAAATAAAACATTAAAATTTCGTTTATTATGGTTATGGTTCTTTATTTTTGGTTTTGGTTTGTAAAATTTAAACAATTAAAATTAAAAATTAAAATTTTTAATTTATTAATTATAAATTTTTTCAAAAATACCTAAAATTCTAAACTTAATTAATTTATAAAAATTTTAATTTTATTCTAAAATTTTTATATTTTTAAAAAGCACAAAAAAAAACTTAAAATCACAATCGTATTAAAGTAAGGTCAAACCTTTCACATGTCAGAACCAAACCCAATTCTACAACCTATTTACGCTCAAACTGATTTTAGGGCTAGAGCCCATATATCTATGCCCCATAAAACCCAAAACCAATTCCATAAATCCCCACATTCCAAAACCCTAAAAGGGGTTTTATTTTTTCTTTTTTTTCTTCGCAGCCAAAAGCCCCGATTTTTCTTCTCTGTTCTTCTCTCTCTAATCGGTTGATGAACATTGTCTTTTTCGGCCATCGATCAAGCTTCCAAAGGCCAGCCAATCATCTATCACTCATTACCGGATCCACATCCAACTTCCCGATCATTGCTCAGCCGTAGCCCTTCGACAGGAAGGGGCTCCGGTTATTTACAGCCGCATACCCCTTCGTCTCCCTCTGGTTCCTTCTCCCTTTTCCCCTTTTCGATTTCACTGCCACCATCAACTTTTCCATCACTGATCATCACTCAAACCTCAGCCTACCTCCACTTTCTTCTTCCTTTCTCATAGTTAATTCCACCTCTAGAATCCAAATCGGAGAAAACTCATTCATCCACCACATCATACAGCTTCCATTCTGCAACTTTCACTGATTCTCCTCTCCATTTTCTCCACCTACGGCCATACACTCCTTTCCTTCTCAATTTTGGCTTCCCTTTTCTCCAATCTGAAACCATTTGTTGGCGGGGAATCCTTCATCACGGACTGGGCAACCGCACTCCAGCGAACCCAACTCTGCCGCTGCACTCAGTAAACCCATCTCTACCGCCGAACACCAGCCAACCAAATAAAAAGGGGAAAAGGAACCCGGAGGAGATCGCAAGCTGCAATCTAGACGGCGTCGAGAGGAGAATCCGGAGATTGAGTCACCAAGGAATACGGAAACAGAAGGGAGAATTAGAGGTACATAGTTCGAAAATTTTGAGAGCAAACTGGACTTTTGGATATTTCATTTAATTGCATAAAATGATGATTGTGTGAGAAGTTATCGTTGCTATGATACTAGTTTACCCCAATGCTTGGTTAAACATGAAGATTGAGATTGATTAATTTGCTGCTGTTGTTGTTCATGTCTCTGAAGTTTTCCTATGATGCTATGTTATCCCTGGTTTGTTCTTGGCACTTTTCTGCCACGATAAGATAAAATCTAGAATATAAGCTGCTGAGCTTTTGTGTTCTCTATGTGTCTATGCTGAATTTTGTTTTATGGACATACTGAATTTGTTCTTGAGATCTGTGTTCCAATTTTCTATTCCCTGTTTCTCTTCTCCAGCGTCATTTTATTTCCTTTGCTTCTTTTCAATTGGATTTGTTTTCAAATCTCAGGTTTCCTTTTGTTGGGGCTAGCTGTATTTGCTTTTAGGTATTATATGATTCTAGATTAAGTGGATTAAGGGGTGAATGGTAGAATCTGAGTTCAAAAAAATTGGAGAAGTTGGAAGAACATTAGTGGACAAAAAAAAAAAAAAAAAAAAAAAAAAAAAGAGAGAGGGAGAGAGAGGGAGAGAAAATTGTTAAGAGTTAAAAGTCATAAAATATTAAATTAATGAATAAAAGGCTTAAAAATATCATTTGGTTGTTTGAACTTTGAATTACTTTTCTTGAGTGATTTTGTTTTTGTCATTGAATCTAACCTCAATTTTAACCATGCCCTTCCTCACTTCTGATGATTCCCTGGACCCTGATCTTTGTGTAGGGCTGTTTTACGTGACTTTTCCCAACTTAAAATTTGGACAAGTGGCGACTCTTTGTTTTTCACATTTTTTCACTTAATTTTCTATTTCATTTATTTGAATTTAAGTGGTTGTCAACGCAGTCCATTTGTGTCTGCATTTTGTATTAAATTGTTATGCTGCATGTGAAAATGGTGGAAGTTTTATTTCTAAGTTTTCATGTTGTTGAATTGAAAAGAATTTTAGTATGTGTTCAGTGTACATGTTTTTAGCTTTCTTTAGTGGCTATTTTTCTTGCTTGCAGCAATGGTGGGACTTTCTGTAGGTGAAAGACATTTCATTCAAGGTGGAATAGCTCAAGACCTTCGCTCTGATGGCCGGAAAAGGTTAACTTATAGACCCATCTATGTTGAAACTGGAATCATTCCACAGGTAGTGTATTGTCAAAAAACTAATCATGTCTTTGTGCTACAATATATATATATATATATATAATTTTTTTTTTTTTTTCTGATGTTCCCGTCTGTGCCTGTCTTTTGTGTGCATTATGGTAGGCAAATGGTTCAGCAAGAGTGCGGCTTGGTGCAACTGATGTTATTGCCAGTGTGAAGGTATCTTGTTGACCAGCTGCAAACCATTATTATGTTTCATGCTCTCTTCTTGAGCCAAGTGATCCAAAATTTTGCAGTTTTAGATGTGCAATGTTTTCTTTGTTCAAGTTGTCTTCATTTGAACATGTTGTGGATTGATGATGTTAATGCAGGCTGAACTTGGAAGGCCTAGTGCAATGCAACCTGACAAAGGAAAGATCACTATAAATGTTGATTGCAGCTCAACTGCAGCACCAATGTTTGAGGTGCTTTGATTTTATTGCTGACATCTCTACTTTGTTGATTATGTTGGTTGAGGTTTAATTAAAGCTTTGCTTTTCTATGATCCAGGTCTTTTGTCCCAATGATTTAGAGTTGGTCATGTACAAAATTGTTAAAATAGAAAGAAAACAATCAACATCCTGATACCACTTTTATGCTGATAATTAATCAAAGTCTATCCTTCTTTCTTCTACACCATTTGTAGACCATCAAATACTTTCAGTGAGTTAATTCAGTGAATGGTATCTTCCACAGGGAAGAGGAGGTGAGGGGCTGTCCATGGAACTCTCAATTGCTCTTCAACGTTGTCTTCTAGGTGGCAAAAGTGGTGCAGGTAGCAATTTGTAAAATGAGTGAGAAAGTTAATATAAGTATATTGTTGGATGGGTGCCTTTGATATTAGGCAATTTTCAATTCTCTTGCTTTTCTTTTTGTTATTACCTTACTGCTATCCTTCTACTGATAGTAGTTTTCTTAATCAATTTCTATCAGGGGCTGGAATCAATCTCTCATCTCTAGTAGTTGTGGAAGGAAAAGTTTGCTGGGATCTTTATATTGATGGCCTTGTTGTCAGTTCAGATGGGAATTTGCTAGATGCCCTCAGTGCTGCCATTAAGGTATTGGACCCAAAAGTTATTTACATGTTTAAAACATGTTCCTTTTTAACAAATTTTTGTCAAAATAAATATAGATCCAAATATAAGATCGAAAATATGCTTGTCAATGAGATGGGTTCTTCAAAGCTTATCATGTTTAATTTGTGTATCCTGCTAAGGTGAACAAAGTGGTTTAAAGATCAAGCACTAAATTCACATCCAGGGATTGAAAAAGTTTTGGACCCATTTTTATTACTCACGTTTTGATTGAACTGTATAGTAACATTCTATGTTGCATGTTGCAAGGACTGGTGGTCAAATATCTAACACAGATTTGTCTCCAAAATGAATACTTCAAATTATTTTGTATATTTTTCCATTATTTTCAAGAAATCGATAGTAGTGTCAAGGTAGATTAATGTTGTCTAACTAGTTTTATCTACAGATGAACTAGCAGTACTTTCGTGTGTCCAATGATTAGCATTACTTTGGTGTGTCCAATAGCATTATCGATTTGCTTTCAGCCTATATTCACCATTTAATGTATGCTTGTTTATCTGTAGGAGAGTGTGACTACTTTATAATGTTATTTAGGGTGGGGGAATTTGATTCTAGGAACCTGGGCCTCAGCACCCTCTGGACTCCCTCATTGGAAAATGTATGACAGTTTTAGTATATGTAAAATATGAGGATCATTCGCTTTTTCATTTCTGTTGCCTTATAGCTGTACCATACTGTGTTGTTTGTGAAGGCTGCTTTGAGCAATACAGACATCCCAAAAGTTAATGTAGCAGCTGAGGTGTCAGGTGATGAACAACCTGAAGTTGACATAAGTGATCAAGAGTTTCTGCGGTTTGACACGTCTGGGGTCCCTGTAATTATTACCTTAACAAAGGTAAAACAATTTTGTTGTTTGCTTGAGTTTAGCAATTTATGCCCGTATTACTATTTACTAATTTATTGCCCGTTGGTATATATAGGTTGGGAGGCACTATATTGTAGATGCTACTGCAGACGAGGAATCCCAAATGAGCTCTGCTGTCTCCATTTCAGTTAACCGACAAAGTCATATTTGTGGACTAACTAAACGAGGAGGTGCCGGCCTAGATCCAAGCATCATTCTAGACATGATATCGGTGGCAAAACATGTGAGCGAGCAGTTGATAAACAAATTGGATTCTGAGATTGCTGCAGCTGAAGCTGAGGAAGAAGAAGAATCTTGACATATCGTGAGAACACTATCCATATGTGGATTGTTTGTGGCTTCTTTTCAATAGGATCTATGATGTGTTGTACACTATTTTTGTTTGTTACAACCATAGGCATGATAAGCAGTCTAGTTAATGAGATGATATACAGATTTTATTCTACAATTTTTCTTTTCAATTGAGTCTTCTTCTTCTTCTTGTAGTAGCTTTGGGAATTTGAAAGTGAAACGTAGGTTGGTGTTTGGATAAGGATTTTAAGGAATTTTGTAGGAAGTATGAAGGAATTTCAATTTCTCCCCTATTAGTTTTTTCAATATTTTAAAGGCAAATTGTGCAAATATGCCCCTTTACTTTACGTTGGCAATCACCTCTTAATTTGAACCTTACTTCACGAATGATCCTCGTGTCACGGATGAAGGCATCTGACTTCATAAAATTCGCTACATGTCTATTTAATCTTTTTAATCGTTACCATCTCTAAGTCTAAAAAACAAAAAATGAAAAAGAGATAATGGGGCAAGTGGTAACCATTAAGAAGGCCAAATGAATATGACAGATTGGTGGTGTCATTTCATGTTATCAATGAGGTTGAGGGGTATATTGTCCAAATCGGCAATTAGAAGGGGCTATTTGCCAGTGAAAAAACTTGAGAGAGTGATTGTCAACCTAAAATGGAGTAAAGGGGCTGCATGATTTGCCTATTTTAAATTCTTTGCCAAAGAGTTTTTTTTTTCAGGGTTTTGTCTAAATAAGAGTGTACTAAATATATTTTTTAAATATTAATTTACATGAAAAAACAAAAAGGGTAACATTAATTTCATCACACATGTTATGTAAATGTTTTTAATTAGACAATTGATAAAATTAATGTTAATTTTTATTTTTTCTATGTATATTAATGATAAAAATATATATTTATTATTTTATTAATGTGTTATTAGAACAAATGTTAAAAAAAAAAA